AAGTGTATTGGAAATGTATTGGTGGGTGGAGTTAAATGAAATATACATACTTTCTTTCATCCTACTTCATCTGAACTCAAAATGAACTTTTTAGTATATATACATGTCATAATTTCCAATCTCTCATTCAAAAGTTTTTTGGGGGGGTCTGGAAATGTAATTATAGTTAATTTTTCTTGTTGACAAAGGTTGCAGATGTTGCTATAATTGTTGTAAGGCTTTGCTTTTCTGAAAAAATTTCCAGTTTACAATCTAATCCTTTTTTCCTATAATTTCCATATGTGGTTGGCTACTTTAGTAGAATTTCTAAGGATATATATATATATGTGTGTGTGTGTGTGTGTGTGTCTCTATAAATAGAACATAGAATCCAAAGTTTGTTAAATTTGATAAAGTGAAAAACTTTTATTGACTTGATTATACATTATATAGATTTGATTAAGAATATATTCAATCCTTTTAAATATTCCTTAATTTATTTCATCCAATATTAAAAATAAATATACTGTTATATTACACTGGTCAACATGATTTTTGGTGCCAAGAAACAAAACTCATTTTTTAGCTAATTTGAAAATGACCCTAGTTTTTCATGGTTAGCTACCATTTTTGCTGTACTGAAATTGCTCATTTTTGGAAATAGATCAATTTATGATATTGACAGATTACAAAATTTAATTAATAAAGGTTGTAGAAACTCGTCAATTTTCAGGTAGGCCAAGCAATTTATTTCAGCCACCTGAAATAAAAACACTTTTTTCTTATAAAAATAGTTTGAGTCAAACATTTTAAAATAGATGTACCAAAGTTTTCCAATTTATCACCAAAATTCAAATTAACTGATAAACTTTATCAGTAATATACTTTAGTAAACCTGATAATTAAAGTGGCATGAAAAAAATGAAATCCTAAAATCTTCTGTTTGATATTCATAAATTTATCCTGTCACTATGGAAAGAAGCCAAGCACATTGAGAGCATTTTGTTTTTACACTTGGAAAGAAACTCCAACTAAAGACATCCCAATTGAATGCACCTATTCCATTGTACATGATACTGCTGGAGTATCAAAAGGGATTTAAATAACATGGAACATGACAGACAATCAAGAAAGAGAAAATTTTTACCATAGTTCTTATGTTTACGAAGGTTTTATTACTTTATTAAATGATTTGATGAAAATACTTGTTGGTCTTGGTATGTTCATTCATATTATTTTTAAAGACGTAGGGTCTTTATTGTTATTGCAAAAATAGTATTTTGCAATAAGCAGACAAATATTTATTTTTTTAAATACAAATTGAGAGGTTTCTATGATTTTATTTTGACACCACTTCATAAATTTTTTTTGTTGACCAGTGTTATTTGTAGTGTTACTGTTTATATTTTTTTATGAGAACAGATTCAGTAACAAAAAATAAAATAACAATAGGTTGATTCTAGCATCCTTGATTTTAATATCTAACCGTGTTTAATAAAGAATAAATATATAAAAAATTGAAGATTATCAAAATATATATGGAATCAAAATAAAATAATTTTACCTACTATAGTTAAATGCAAAATTATAAAAAAAATAGTACCCCCCACCCAATATAATGTTACCAATAGGAATTGTAGACTATTTTTAGAAGAACAATTATCAATATTAAATTTTAATAATCAAATTAAATAAGAAAATCGTCCTGGGTATGACGATAAACTACATCCATGTCTTGGGTAAGATGATAAACTATGTCCAGCAGATCAGTAGGAATGTGGGACCACCTCTTAATTGCTGGTGTTCCAGGTCCACCCTGACCTGGGGTGGTAGCACCTGTTAGGGTCCCAGCTATGGGCAAATAGTTAACACCCAAACTTGTGAAAAAATAGATTTTGATACCAGAAATGCTTTGTAATAAAAAAAAATATTACTAGCAATAATTTTTGAAGGAAAAATTATTATCAGCAATACTTTAAAAAAAAAATTATTATCAGCAATACTTTAAAAAAAAAATTATTATCAGCAATACTTTAAAAAAAAAATTATTATCAGCAATACTTTAAAAAAAAAATTATTATCAGCAATACTTTAAAAAATACTTTAAAATACTTTAAAATACTTTAAAAAAAAAAAAAAATACCAGCAACACAGTTATACATTCTTTGAAAAAAAATCTGACCAGCTTTCGATTTCTTCAAAGAAAAACATATTTCCAGCAATAAAAATTTTGTTGGTATTAATAACTCATTGAGGATGATATGTCATAAAACAAAATAAACCAAACCTAAATGAGATAATAGGTCAATGCCGACATATTAACAAATAATTACTTTGTTATTTTAATAATAATATAACATAATAAATCAATTAAAACATTAATTAAATTATAATATTTTATGTTGTATTATTAATTAATAATGCTAATTAACAAATATTACAATTTAATTAATAATAGAACATAAAAACTTCTATATAAACCATAAAAAAAGAAAAAATAATTTCAAAGAAAAAATTACAACTGGAAGAAAAATTTACAGCTGAAAAAAAATGAAGACGTAAACAAAATCAAGAATTCATGAACACGCGCAGATAACAGAATGTTAATGAATATGAATATACATGTGTGCAAAATGGAGTAAAAAAAAAAAAAAAAAAATTGAAAAATTTGTAAATATCATTTAAAACCAGAACCCCCTGAAGAACAGAAATTTTATCAAGAAACTTTGAAGTCAGGGGGAAAAAATTGATATATAAAAGTAATCTTTTATATATATATATACTTTATGGGTGTTGAACAAACACAAATGTGCCTGACCAGGCATCTTCAACTGGGATTAAATAATAGACAGGTGTAATCAGAAATGGGCAATAAGCCATCATATACGATATATCATTTTCAATACTATTTTTTTAATCATTTCACCCAATTAAGGCAATAAGGACACTAGGACACAGAAGGTTATAGGGTTTGAAATACAGTGAGGAGAAAGGACAATAAAGAAACAGGTTTCAGAAGATGGTGACTGACGTTGCATTTCAATCTTTGAAGATTGTAGGCAACAGGAAAGCAAGAGTTTGGAAGGGAGATCTACAGGCGAGAAATGAAACTATTAGAATAGAACATACAGTTACATCAAAGGTACTTCAACAGTAAAAACAATGAGACCTAATTGCCAATCTAGTAATATGCTTAAATTCATGCAATCTTCTTTTTTTGTTTTTTCCAGATGTTAGAATGGCAGATACTTTTAAGATTTTGGTAATATTGAGGGATTATTTTAAATTAGGCTTCACAAACAATGCTTGTTTTTTATGGTTTATCAACCCTTTGTGAATTATTTAAACCTGAAACATATTTTGGATTGTAAATTGTTTTTCTTTATTTTTTTGTAAGTTAATGTTTCATTAACAATTTTTTTTAGAATAGCAATGAACATTTTTCTATATATAAGTTCTATTATTTAACCCATAGCTTGAGAAGAACAGATAGATTCAGACCTTTCTTAAGGATATTTGTAAGAATATAATCAACTTGACTGGAATTAGAACTCGACTCACTGAGTTCTCATTCTGAGCCACTAACCTATTACACCAGCTGCACATCTGTTCACAGCCCCTTGTGTTTCTTGCAGAGTTTGGGAGGCAGAAAGAAATTAAACAATATTTGACTGTACTACCCAAACATGGTCTAAGCTTTTTAGGAGAGGTGACTTGACCCTTGACCCTCACACATGTTCTTTATTATAACGCTTCAAAACAAAAGAAAAGCCAATCACCAGCACTTGCAAAATACACTTGCATACAATACATAGATCAATATGAATATAGACAAAAGGAAAAACTTTTCTTTACCAAGACGTTTTGCCCCCTGATGGACTTCATCAAGGTAAAATGTAAGGAGTTTATTTTGCAATATACAGGGTGTCCATAAAGTTCGTGTGCACTTTAAAAAATTTATAACTTTATTTGTATTTGCGATAGAAATAATTTGGAAAAAGGATTAGAAAGAAGTAAATCTACATTTTTTAAGGTTTTATTAAAATTTTATTTAAGTTTCCACATGTCCTCCATCATTAGCAATACAAAGGGTAAAACGATTTTGCAGTTCACGGAAAACATTTGCCAACTGATTTACAGTAATGCCTGAAATCACATTAGTTATTTTAGCTATACTTAAAACTAGGTACATTAAACTTTATAACATTTTTTACAGATTATTTCTATTGCAAATACAAATAAAGTTATAAATTTTTTTTGAAGTGCACACAAACTGTATGGACACCCTGTATATTTGTAAACAGAAATAAAAATGTTAAGTTTTCAATATTTTTAATAAAATATTCTTAAAGCTGTATAAGTGACATAAATTAAAGCCTTATACACAAAAAGTAGGTAAATGTTTCTGTTGAATTTATACTTTATTTATTTTCTAATGTAATTATTATTCTAATTTGATGAATTATTTATTTAATTTAAATAATAGGTCTTGGGTTAACCATTTTCTTTTAATTTAAAAAGAATTTTATGGTCATGTCTGTTGGCTTGGGAAAGGAATATTTCTTTTAAGAAAGGAGATATTTGGAAAAATCCAGAGCATAAATTAACATTTTGGCAATAACTGATAGTTGCACTCTCAAGAACTTTCCATCTAAGTAATTTTTACACATTAATCATTATGTAAGCTTAAAAAAATAAAAAGTTGATTTAAAAATGTAAGTAATTTTGATATAGAATTTAGAGCAGACATTGATAAATGTGCCCACAATAAGATGAAGTGTCATAAGGATGGTCTTTTTCCCATGACCCCACTTTTTTTTTTAACTACCTTCACTCTTCAGCAATGGTTATCATTTTAAAGAGCAATGATGTCATGGAAAAAAAAAAACATTTTTGACACTCCATCTTATTGTGGATACATTTATCTATGTTTGTTGAATCTGGTAATAATAATTGTTTGTTTGTTATTTTTTTTTTTTTTTTTTCCAAGTCCCTATCTTTTGTATCTTATCTATTTGCAGGAAGCGAAATCCTCAACATCTCCATCTCTGTCAAGTGGAACCCTATCATCACTCACAGATGCTGAGGATGAGCCAGCCATTTTGGAGATAGAAGTGATGCAGATAACAAAGCTGTGAAAAAACAAAAACACGTTCTCTGCATTTTTTTTTTTCAGATTCCAACAAGGAACTGTAATTCTAACAATGGTCAACCATTTCAAAACTTCATTGGAGAAACATAGTTAAGAATGAATTTTAAAACAAAGACAAAAGATGGTCCATCTCTTGGAGAATTCAATGTTATCCATTGTTTTTTCCCCATGTTTCTCCAAGATATTTTTCTGTTATTTTATTTTTTTTTTTTTAACCAATGCTTAGGAAAATGATTTAAAGACCAAGAAACTGAAAAACGAAAGCAAACATCAACCTTTTTCTTTTTGGTTGAATTTATTTTTGTACAAAATGTATAAATTATTGAACTGCTAAATCTCAGTCACAATTGAAGGAAAAAAAAAAAAAGAGTGAGAGAGAGAGGAAAAAAACAACTCTTATTTAAAAAGAATTACTTTGGAACAACAACAAAAAAAAAAAAAAAAACAAGGTACTGACAACCAAAATCAAGTACATTGGGTGTGGGGGGGGGAGCCAAAGTATAGATTAGGATTGTACAAATTAAATTTTCAAATAGAAAAATATTAATATGTTATGTAAATGTTTAAAGGCTGATGAATCAGAGTAAAAAGAAATTTTAAAGACAAAAAAATCAGAAAAAAAAAAACGGATTTTTTAGAGAAATAAAATAAAAAAACAAAAAAAATCTAAAAGAACTTAACCCACTGCACACAAGCAACTCTTCAAAGATCAAAAGAAACCAGAAACAAATAACGAATACGATTTACCTCCCTTGGATGATTTTTTGGCAATTTAAATATGGTAAAATCGTCTCTTTGTATATGTTTCCAATTGTATATAAAAAGACCTTATCATTGCGACATTTAATGTTAGAGAACATGTGAAAGAAGAAAAGCAGATATTATTGGCTTGGGATTATTGATAGTTATGACATTGATGTATGTTGTCTGTAAGAAATCAAAATCAAAGAACTTCTTAATGGTCAGAACTCTCTACACGCACATATGGTGAAAAGTAGCTCTGGAAATGGTTTTTTTGTCATCAATAGCAAACAGAAGAATAACATCTGTAGACATGGAACGTACAACACATTGAACAACGACATTAAAAGAACTATCAATAAAATTCCATTATTCCCTGTAAAAATTTTTGAAGAGTTTGGAAGACCTGTGCTGTGTAGCAGAAGACAGGGACGTTTGGATTGGAGAGGACTGATAAAGAGATATTTACACAGTTGCTGAAGATGGAAAATCACAGTGCTCTGCATGTGATTACAAGTTGAAACATCTCTCATGATGATATATAGAGTTTCTAAAAAGGATAATTTTTTGTGCATTTTTAAAAACAAAAAGAAAGGTAATAATATCTCAGGTACATTGGGTTAAAAAAAACAAAATAAAACTAAATTACTAGACCTAGAAACAAACAAACAAAAAAAAACAAAGAAATCAATATTTGAACATTATTATAATTTTTAAAAAAATCATGGAGATATGTGACCAAATCTATTGATTTCTATCTCTGCCAATCTTCGATTATTTTTATTTTAAATGAGACATTTATTTGTCGAACTGATATTTCAATATTTGTCCCATTCAGGACTAAGATTGGTCCTGATTCTGGCTATAGATTTTATGATGGTCAATCTAGGAGATACAATATTTTCTTCTGCTATCACCAATTCCAGAGACCGACTGGAGACTGCATCCAGTTAAAACGAAAGTGTTGGACGAAATTAGAACATGAATGAAACAAAAAGCTTCTGCATTTATTTTCCACCTAAAGGGAGACAACTGACAGACGGAGTCACGGATAGTCCAGATGAGTCATTTAAAAAAATAGAAATCAAGACAAAGAAGAAAAAACAAAAAGAAAAGACAGAAGATCAATGACAAAAAAAATTGGGAATTTTTTTTTTAAATCTGGGACCTTTCTTTTATATAAAAATATATATATATATATATATATATATATATATATATATATACACACACATGTAATTTTTGAATGGATTTTTTTATCTGACATTTTTATTTCTTATTACTAAACATTATTCTCAGTGAATACACATAATTTGAGTTGCTATCCCTGTATTTTTTTTTGATTTTCTTAAACTGATATTAATAACTGGCCTAGATTGAGAGGTCCTTAACTAAACCTACTAAAAATTGTGACTCCCGACAGGAATCAAACATTTTCCATGGCTGTAACATTAGTTATGAGCCATGCGGGATACATGCTTAGATGATAATGTATCTTTTGATACATGACTGACGAGGCAGATATGTTTCCTGCAGTAGGTTGCCAATTCTTTTTGTGGTAGACCAGTTGCCATGCAGAAGCTGGTATGTCCTGCTATTTACCCATAGCTGGGAGGAGAAGATCCAGAACCCGGTCTGTCCTGCTATTTACCCATAGCTGGAGGGAGATGAAAAAGATTCATACCTTTTCCAAGGGTATTAGCACATAAGTGAATGTAATGGATTCAACAGGAATTTGAACTCAGCTCTCTGATTCCTCAATTAATCCACCGTACCTCCCCTGTAACATACGATTCTATATTTGGCTGTGTTAAGGTGTGCAGAAAAAATACATTCACGCAACCTCCATGGGCAAATTAGTAAAGGCACATTTCGGTTATAGAAACAGTCTGCCTGATGCAAAAGAGGAATACACGTTTAATTCCTCTCAGAGGTACAATGTTTCTTTAGTAAGACTTCTAAAACTAAGCTGATTATTAATTTAACCACTTAAGAAAATGAAAAAAAAAAAAAAAAACAGGAATAGTGACTCAAACACATGTACTCACTAAAAATAACATTTATAGCAATAAGAGCTAATATATATGTCTTTTCTTTTTAAAATTGACGTTCAGAATTTTGGGGGTGTTTTTCAGATGAGAATGTGTTGTAGTAATGACAAGAGAAGAAGTCATATTAGAGAAAAACTGTAAATATTTGAATTTAGAAATGATCATTAAATATGCAACAAAATGAATGACTCAACAAAAATAGAGTAGAATTGATCAATGTTTCAATTGATTAGTGAACTAATTGATAATGATGAAAAACCTATAGTAATAAAGCTGAAAGCCCTTGATCACCCTGAGAGGCTTACTGTATCCATTGAGTAATTTCACCTGTTTGCATAGATTATCATCCATGCTACCAAAAAACTTTGGACTGTCAAATAAACTTTGTAATCAAAAACATTTTTTATGTTATTTTTTTAAAAGTTCCTTTTTTTTTTTTGTTTCTCTTCTCTTTAAGAGTTTGGGTTTAAACAACAATGCCTTTTTTCGCTTTGCTAATATTTTTCTTTTAAATAACATCGTTTTCATCTCTGATCTTTTTTTTTTTTTTATTAAACTATTAACAAAAAAAAAAAAATATTGCTATATGCAAAAAAGTAATTGATTAATGAAGTTTTCCTAATCCTTTGAGCCCTTATCAGTGGTAGACAAAAATAATGTAATGCCCAGCCACTAAGTTGTACATTGGTAGAGAAAAATGACTTAATGCCCAGCTACCGGTTGAATGGTGGGTAAACATTTGTAACTATTTTTTTATATCTACTGTGAAACATTACATACCAATTACTTGCAAATTTTGACTCAAGTGCTCAGGCAGAAGGGTTAAAATTGTTCAGGGACACAGGGCTCAAAATGTTAATACTTTCATTTTTTTTTTTTTTTTAATTTCCATATCCTCTCAGAATATAGGCAACCATGACATTCCATAGATTCCTTTTTCTTTATTATCTATGGGTTGCTATGACTTCTTAGGAAAGATAGTGGAGTGGTTTCCCATTGCCTTCTACACAGATTCCTTTTCTTTATCATCTGTAAATTGCTACGACTTCTGTGAATTGCCATTCTTGGAGAAGATAGTGAAATGGTTTTTCAATGCCTTCTCCAAGGTTTGGAATTCAAAGTTCTCATTTTTTTTAGACTGGTAGTCTTCCAAGACTACGGAGCACAGTCTACTTTGTTATTTAATCCATAGCTGTGTGGAGAAGAGATGGATTCATGCCTTTTCCAAGAACGTTTGTGTCAAAATGAATGCAAAAGACAAACCCAGAACTTGAACTTGCAAATCCACCTTCCACACGGATAGCCATTAATGCTACCCACATCTCTATTATCAGCTCCTTTTATTAGTATTTTCTGGCATGAGAAATTATCATTATTATCCTTATCTTTGTTGTTGTTATCACAACGTTTCGGCTATTGTACTCTCCAGCCTTTATCAGGTGTATATCAATCCAGGTAACCTACAAAACAATAGCCTAGTGGATAAAAGCAAGCATGGGCAACCTTTTTCGAACAGTGAGCTGTATATCATAAGATGGGCTGGAATACCAAAAGAATTAAGGTATTTTTTTTTTTTTTAAAGATACCACAGCCATTTTCCTAATAAAATTAAAAATGGGGAAAAAGTTGATTTTTCTTTTCCTTGTATAATTAAAAAAAAAATTGAAGTCTTGGTATAATATTTTCACTGATGGCAGCGTGATTAACACATATTACTGTATGTGATTTGTTTCTAATTTATTCATTTGAGTAGACAAAAATATTTGTAAAAGAAGAATAATTATTGATGTTTCCTTTTTCTGAAGAAAAAGATGTTTACACATATGGCCTTCCTTAGTGAAAAGTGGCAATGGTTCAAACTGCTGACAATGTTATATCCAACAAAAAGTTACAAGAAACATTGTACTTAATCATTGTTTATATATGAGGTTATAATACATGAGACTGAACAAGTGAGAACAAAAAAAAAACAAAGAAGATTTTTATAAATATTATTTTCCTCATGAAATTAGGTATGCCATTCAAGAAAGCCAAATTGGGCCACGTGCAGCTTGTGGCCTGCTGTTTTTCCAAGACTGGTTTAAAGCGTTGGTTCTTGATTTTTGTTGAAATTGTTATTGTGAGTTCAATCCCTATGGCTAGCAATAACTGAGCCTGTCTATATCTCTGAGATGAGGTATTAGGATTACTTGTA